CATATGAGTGCTGTCAATAGAAAACCTGTCATCGGACATTCAATTATATTTTGTGTTCAGTTAGCCATCTACGGAAAATCTATTGTCATGATATATTTTTCATGAATGGCTAACTGTACACAAAATATAATTGAAAGCCCGATGACAGGTTTTCTATTGACAGCGCTCATATGAGGCATGGTGTGATGCTAAATCGTCACAATATAAAAAAAAAGGGCACTGTAAAACGTGTTAAAACGTAAAATAAAAATATGATATACTATTTTAGTGTAGAGGTTATCGGGGAAGTAAAAACACCGGAACAATAACCGAGGTATCAGTCGCATGACTTTCGACCCTTACCCAAACCATTTTGGAAGGCCTTCAAAAGTTTTTTTTATTTTTTGAGCTTCTGAACTTTTTGAAAGAGAAATCTCATTCCTGTTTTTTTAAACCAGTTATGTTTTCTGATTGTTCTTCAAAATTGTTATAATAAGTCGATTTTATTTCTATTTTTATTTTTCAAATGGAAATGGATATTAGTCCTGGCAAATATTGAATAAGAAAAATTTTGTTCGACAGACTGTAAATCGAAGAACACCGAAATATATTTCCAAAGCGTAGATGGCGAAGAAGAAAGAATATTAAACAGAGAAAAAAGCGGTTCAGCTCTCTTCACCGACGCTCCTTTCGTAGACACGTCACTTCACCGAAATCACCTCACCGACATGTTTATTTCATAGACATTTACAGCTGTTTTCATAAATTCTGGGTTCCTAAAGGTCACCTAACTCTTCGGAATCACGTCATTGTCTTCGGAACTTCATTCCGGAGATAGTGATGTATTTTCCGAAGAGTTAGATGATCTATAGGACGAAACCGAAGAGATTTCGGGAAACGAGAAAATTCTTAGGTGTCTCAGAATTTATGAAACAGCTGTAAATCACCGACATGTCCATTTTAACGAAATGTTTATTTTATCGACACTAAATTCACCGACAATTAATTCACCGACAAACTTACAGCTGTTTTCATAAATTCTGAGACACCCTTCGGCCGAATTTGATAAGTTATTGATTTCGGTATGACTAGTGCGTGATCAGTATATAAAAAAATTATTAAGTTACTATTATTACAACACATTGTTCGATCAATATTATATTACATTCGCAATGTCAACTATTTCAACACTTTATTAAAATTTTTTTGCATTATCCAATATGTATGATATAAAAATTTATGTCAAAAACTGTTATTGCCAATTAATAGATCTTCACTAAAAAAAGTTTTGAACATAAGTTGGACTTTCTTAATAAACATATAAACTTCAAGTTCGTTTTGTGAATCTTATTATATAATTATCTTTGATAATTTATAGTATAGTAAACTTTGTTTATTTAAATATACTGTATCTATACAAAAAAATAATAATAAATTTTGAAATTTTGCCTTTTTAATACGTAACCCTCTATATTACATGAGTAGGCACTAATAAAAAAAAAAGTTTAAATACGATCAGGGGTTGTAAAAAAATGCAACACAAATTGAAGATTTTATTAATATTTGTCGACAATGTCTTAATAGTTATAATAAAGTTCAAAGTATGTATAATGTTTATTTAAAATGATGGTAATTTATCAACACAGTCATACCTTTGAAATTGTTTGAGAACTTGACCCACAGAAGACCTGTTAATATCCAAACGTTTAGCAATTGCTCTAACTTAAGCCTTTTAAGTTCTTTTAACTATTTTCCAATGAATATGTTTGAAAAATCTTAGTAACAAATACATATGTATTATGCACTGAGATAAATAGCTTATTGAATTCGGCAAATTTTTTTAGGGTGTCCCAGAATTTATGAAAACAGCTGTAAGCTTGTCGGTGAATTTAGTGTTGACAAAATAAACATGTCGGTAAAATGAACATGTCGGTGATTTGATTGTTGGTGATTTACAGCTGTTTTCATAAATTCTGGGACATCTAAAAATTTTCTTGTTTCCCAAAATCTATTCGGTTTCATCCTAAAGGTCACCTAACTCTTCGGAATCATGTTATTGTCTTCGGAACTTCATTCCGGAGATAGCGATATATTTTCTGAAGAGTTAGATGATCCATAGAACGAAACCGAAAAGATTTTGGGAAACGAGAAAATTTTTAGGTGTCCTAGAATTTATGAAAACAGCTGTAAATGTCTATGAAATAAACATGTCAGTGAAGTGGTACGTACCTGAAAAAAAAAATACCGTAATTTACTGTGTAAGGTACCCGGGTATGATTTTCACATGGTAAAAAATTTGATTTGTACCCCCGGGTACCTTGTATGGTGTAGGGTACATTATGTGGGGGTCTTTTGTAAGGGGGGTATGAATCAATACATACATAGGTAAAAGATATCATACTAGTATTGATTTTTTTCAAAATTTTTTTTTTGACTTACAGTATGTAAATTACACTTTGTAATATGATTTAATTCTGTAAAAAAAATAAAGAAAATGTTTACGAAAAAGATTTTTATGATCCTGCCGGCACCAATAGTTTATAATTTTTACATCTTACTACCATGTCTTGCAAAAAATTTTTTTTCCGCAAAATTATGATTTTTTTTTTTTTTTGCAATTTTTTTTTTTTTTTTTTATGCCTATAAAATATCTATTAAGTTGTTTGTTTACTGGTAAGTTGTGTTTTTTTTGAAAAATAAACTTTTACCTTTCTGCAATCTTAACAATGGTACTCTTAGAAAGTATTCTCACAACCAATCTTCAACAAAAATGGGCATAACATTGGACAGCCTGGGAAAAACTTTTTATTCTTTCTTACCTCGACAATGCTCCAGGTGCTACTATACATGAAACAGCTAACAAATTTCAAATTGAAACCAAACAAATTCAGGATTGGAGAAATAAGCGAGAACAGCTACTATTAGCTCAACCACATGTTAAACGTCTTAATGCTGGTGCTAAACCATGTTATCCTAATCTTGAAGAAGAACTCGCTAAATGGGTTCAAGCTTTGCATGCTAAATTAAATCCAGTTAGCCATCATATGATACAAACAAAAGCAGCAACATTAGCAAAATCTACACAATATATTTCTCAATATCCTGATATTAATAAGTTTAAGTAGAGTACTAAATGGCTCGAAGGTTTTTTATGGCACTATAATTTTAGTAACCATCGTAGAATGACTATTGCACAAAAATTACCAGAAGAATTAGAAGCACAATGGCAAGAATTTTTAAATTTTGTCTAATATTGTTATATTCAACATAATTACCCATTATCATTAATAGGTAATATGGACGAAATCCCACTTGCTTTTGATATGCCAAGCAGTATAACTGTTAATAATAAAGGAAACAAGACTATTAGTATTCAAACTTGTGGTTATGAGAAATCTTGTTTTACTATTGTGTTTGCATGTATGGCGAATGGTGTAAAATTAACACCAATAATCATTTTTAAATTAAAAAATGTTCCGCATCTTTATTTTTACAAAGTGTAATTATTAGAGCTAATGAAAAGAGATGGATGAATGAAGCAGAAATGAATTATTAGATAAAAACTGTTTAGAACAATCGTACACCATACTCTAGAAATCCATGATCATTATTAGTAATAGATTCTTTTAAAGGCATTTAGTTTCTTCTATTAAAGGTAATCTTTTTGAAAAGAACACCAATATCACAATTATTTCTGGAGGGTTGACATCAAAAATTCAACCACTCAATATATCGATTAATAAATTATTCAAGGCAAAGAGGCATTTTTTTTTATTATTATTTTTTATTTTTTTTTTAAATATAAAATAATATTTCTTTTATTAATAGATCAGGTCTATGTACAATGAATGGATAGCACAAGAAGTAAAAGAATTAACTACAACTAGTCGAATTAAACATCCTCCCTATAATCTTATTGCAGAATAGGTTAAGCACACATGGGATGATATTGATATTCAACTAATTAAATACTCCTTTAAGTGTTGTGGTATTTCAATTGCAACAGATGGATCAGAGGACCATTTACTTTTTGACTACAATTAAGTTGAAAATAATAAAATTAATGAGCATAATCTAGTTAAAAATAATGAAGATATTTTTTGCGATGGTAAAAATTTAATTTCACAAATTAAATTTAAGATTTTTGTTTAATGAACCTTTCCATTTTTACAAGATTTTTTGTCTCAACAATACCTCCTACCTCAACAATATCTCCCACCTCAACAATCCCTCCCACCTCAACAATACCACCCACTTCAACAATACCTCTCACCTCAACAACGACTTCCATTACAAGATCTTCCACTTCAGCAACAAAATCCTTTATCTCAACAGCTATTTCAACTTTTGCAAGTTTCTTTGCCCAATCAATACCAACAAAACTGCTTATCTCAACAAGATCTTTTACCTTAACAATATTTTTTGCCTAAGCAAAGCTTTCCATCCTAATTAGATTTGTTGCTACAAGGTTTTTTAGCCTAACAAAATTTTTTGGCTCAGGAAGAGAAAATCAAATCTTATTATCAGGATGAAGTAAAAAATTTTGTAAATCAGTGGTGGGAATAACTGTAATTGCACAAATTTTCCTTAACAATATTTTTTGCCTAAGCAAAGCTTTCCATCTCAATTAGATTTGTTGCTACAAGGTTTTTTAGCCTGACAAAATTTTTTGGCTCAGGAAGAGGAAATCAAATCTTATTATCAGGATGAAGTAAAAAATTTTGTAAATCAGTAGTGGGAATAATTGTAATTGCACAAATTTTTGAAGTTTAAATAAACTTACCATCCAATATTTTGCTTGTTAAATCTTGAATCTAAATCCACATATATTACATATTTAATAATTGTTATGGATTAAAATAAAAACGATCAAATGAGATCAGATTAAAATGAAATATGCGTAGTATAAAAAAATTGACTGGTAAAGAGTACTATATGTGCTTTTTTTTTTTTAAAAAAAAAAGAAAAATTAACTGGCTATCAAAAAATAAAAATTTTTAGAGATTATAAATTAAGGCTAGAGTTTAGTTTTAGAGTAGAGTTTACCGGTATATTAAACAAGTATACCAGTAAGTAGGTTAAATAGAACCCCATTTAATAAAGCTACAAAAAATTAAATAAAAATAGTAACGTTATACCAGTACCTAAAGTGGTTATTGAATTGTACCTGAGTACCTTACAAAATACCATAACAATGATCTTGAAATGTACTCGGTACAAATCAAGGGGGTACTGATCAAAGGGATACCTTCCACAGTAAATTACAATAAATTCTAATGCAAGAAAATAAAATAAACAACTTTCAACAATACTAATTAACTAAGAATAAGTCATGTATTAAACTCTTAAAAAAAAAGCTAGTAAAAAATATTCATATTTAGGAAAAAGCTATAATTTTTTTAAAAATTTAAAATCTATGCCATTTTACCCATATTATCTACATGAAAGTTTATTATTATTGCTTTTTTCTGCATAAAGATCTATAAAAAGTCACCTTCATAACGAACTGGCTGTTCTTATAGTAAAGGATTTTCTAAAGTTCTTTACTGTGTCTTTATACTGAACTCAATAATAATTTTTTTTTTATTATAAAGTTAAGTTCGATGTAAAAGAATTCATTACATCCAAAGATAACTGTACAAATAGTATTGCTAACACGTCAGATCTGATAAAATTTAAGTAAGAAGATCATGTAACTGCTACTTTGATTATTAGTAATGCTAAGGAAGTGGGAGTGATTATAGAGATGAACAATGTAATAATGTAAGTAATAAATCTTTATTTTTTTACCCTGTATTTATATATACATGTATTGTTATTAATTATTGACAAATATAATCTGGAGAGAAAATTTTTAACAGTTAAGTATATTAGAAAATTTACAGGGTAATAATTTAATTAAGGATCAGCTACAGCATATATAAAATAATAGGATTATCTATATATTATATAAAAAAAGACAGTTTCGCTTCTAGGCTAACACTTGTATCTTAAAATATTCTTCATTATAACAAACAATTTTTTTTTTTTTTTTTTTATAAAATTCGGCAGTCATGCCTCAACTTTATTAGATTAACTGCAATTGGCTCTACTGCATGCAAACTTATCACTAAAACACTAGCTTTAGTATCTAATTTCTAAGTTTTGACTAACCCGGTTATTCCATGGACACCTATATTCAACCTGTTATAGTCGATATTATCTACGCATCTATCTCTTCTGCAACCAAAGTAGATAGGTACATCATCAACTGGAATTGGCCACTTATCATGACCGCCAATTTCCTTAAAACCTTCATCTTCTTTATATCCAAGCAAGAGGATTCCATAATCCTTGTCTTAAGAACAACAAGTATACTAAAAAAAAACTAAACTATAAAAGGAAGTAAAAAAAAGGTGGAAGAGCTACAAAAACCTAAATGAAAACCAAATACAAAAAGAGAAAGATAAAATGATAAAAAAAAGAGAAAGACAAAAAGAAAAAAGCAAAAACCATGAAAGCAATGGGTACACCAATGCTTTGACAAACACAAGGTTTTAGTTAAAAAATTATTTAATACTCTGTAAAACAATCTCCACCTTCGCTTTACTTCGGTATTAAAATAGTTTTTATTATGTGGAGAATACAAAATTTTTCTTGTTTACTCATAGATACAAAACCAAATAGTTGATCTTTGTTTACATACTACTCGTACATGTCCTTTAACAGTTGTTAGATGTAGAGCACCTAACTTCCTCGTGACTTTCCCAATTTGGTAATATAAGCAATGTCGATCTTTTGATGGGGTATATCAAAATTTTCACTTTTTGGAAAAAATTTTGAGAGAAACACCAAAAAACCTGGTGAGAATATGTAGAGTGGTTTTCGGGATCAAGTACTTCAAATCTTCAAGGAGTGTTTTTAAAAAATTCATTTGTTGTTCCCCTTTTCTTTATCGCCTCTTGGTTGCTTTGTCAGCGAAGACTGCTTTTTACACCAAGCCTGTCAACACCAAAATTTTGTATACAAGGGCACAACCTCCTGCCAGTTATCTTATATACCAACGCTTTTGGCTTGCATGCCGAATATGTCAAAGGAGTCCCCAGGAAGAGAGTATAACCTGGTTGGACCTTTGCAAGAACCGCCTAATAGTCGCGTTAACTACTCCAACAATTTTTTGTTTTTTGTTAGGTGGAAAAATTTGGTACAAGTGATCATTGAGGAGAGTTGTGTTGATATCCCATCATAACAAACAATTTTTTTTTTTTTTTTAATTCTTTGACAGTCTTGCCAGTGCTTAATTTATTTAAAACTATATTTAGGTGAAAGTAGAACTTTCTCGAACAATACATATCATTCATAACCATAAAAGGTGTCTAGTGATTGCGAGCCTGACATCACCTGGCTGCGATTAACGTGCCCAAATGCGACTTGTCACACCAACCTGCATACAAGTTAGATAAACTTTGTCAGCCCATCAAAGCTTTTCCCTTCATATTCTCTTTCTTTACTGAGAGCAAAAGAAAGTGATGATCTTATATCCAATACAAAACCACCA